AGTCCCAGACTTGCGTGGTATGATTAGGCACCGGGGTGCACCCCATTTATAAGGTATCTTATGTTTACTCAGCTCCATGGTCAAAGATTGCAGGGACCTGTGCCAGTTCATGGAGGCCATGGAGATATCAGGGTAGAACAGTGTGGAATGTTCTTTAAATTGATAGGGAGAGGCATTGTGCACTGGGGAAAGGAAGGCTTGCCTGTCATGGCCGTTCTAGAAGTGGATGATTACATCTCTACTGGATCATGATGTGGTAGCTTGAGGTGGTGGCAGCCAATAGCAGCCACCCAGTGTCATAGTCTTGGCTTGTTTTGGAGAAAATAGGCCAGTAAGCAATCTCTTGATTAGATGTGGAATTTCCGTTATTTTCACATTCTTCCAGCATCTACGGTCTTCCATTGCCACCATGTGGCGCTGGGATTGGGTCATCTCTTGCCTGAGCATTGCCATCTCTCTTTCCAGGCTAGTGATGTGCAACTTGTATGCAGTGGTGGTGACTTCGTTATCGTGGAGGCGCACAGACACCCCATTGATTTATTCTTTAAATGAGGCAATGTCAGCTGTGATACTTCATTGAACTTCATCTAGAAGGGCTTTCAGCTTTCCTTCTGTGACCAGAGGGCTTCCCCTCTGCACCAGAGGCTGTTTTGCTCTCTTTTTTGTGGCTATTAGCTCAGAGCCCTTTAGGTCGGGCAGAGAGTCTTCGCTGGATGAACAGAAGGGCCCATCCAAGAGCGGCGCAATGTCTGGCCTCTAGGGATCTCACGGCCTCCACAGCAGATCGATGAGATCCGCGGTAAACGGGGGGTTTTCTGGCCTCTGTTTTTTGCTTTTGCGCCCCATATTGTAGGTGGAGTAGGATGCACTTGATGAGGTCAGTTGCGGTAAGTAAGCAAGGTTTTTTGCTGTTTTTAGTATCGGTTATCTCGGAGCTCATACAGTATGGCTGCGCCTCCTGAAATTATGAAAATGTACCCAAATTAAGCATCACAAAGTACTTATAACTTGACAACAGTTACTTCCTATTAATATCTTTGTATGGGGTTGAATCCCAATCTCTCTTTTAAACAACATGTCTATCATCCAAACTTGGTGATTTGTACAGATTCAGAATACATTCTGCTGAGATCTTCCCATAAGAAAAATGATTGTGCTGCAAATGTTAATATTCATCTGCATCACACTAAATCTGGAACTCACGTTATACTTTTTCCCCCAGTATAACTATGTTGGAACTAAAGTGGCTAACTCTTAAAACCAGACATCCTTTTCACCTTAATTGACTTATTCATAGCTTCTCATCCGGAAAATTGCAACAGTATGAGCAAGTACGAGCAGTATTCACATTCTTGCTGCCTCTACCCCTACGTCCTCCATTCCACTTCTTGTTCCATACATTCCTTGAAAAATTCTGTCAAGAAGCCTTTACTTATAGATGTGATATATGGCCTGTTTTAGAATATCAAATCTGTCACTAATCTAAAGTCCTTGAAAATATCAATAAGCAACCTGTCACAATATCTAGTGACCCAATGTAACGGAGCTCCTTGTACTCCGACCGAGTACCTCCGTTGATGGATGCTCCAAGTGCTTCCCAAGGGCTCCAAGCACTTCTCCAGACACCATAAGCACTGCATACCGAACCTCTCTTCCTGCAGAGAGGGAAGCTGGAACAAGCTCTTAAAAGAGCTTAGTGATTATAGCTAGGGGAGTATACAGAGTATAGTAATCCCCCAGTAAAGATGCAGCAGTATCCCCAAACATGAGAAAAGGCTCTATGTTGAGGGTCAAAACATGAACAGACAGAGCTGTAGCTTTATTGTTCTTATATACACATTTTACATATAAAGTACCACCCACAGGGTTTTGTGGAAAAGTCAAACACGTAATATACAGTAAAACACTCCCATTCATTCCAGCAAAATCCTCCCCTCTGCCTGTGATATAATTACTGAACACAATGGGTTAACGTTATTATCACAGGCAGGAAAATACACAGTTTTACACAATATTCAAAACTTTAAAAGTATACATCACATTCACTTACATTTTCAGGACCAGCATACTCCAAATACAAACATACTCAAAAATAGGACAATTCCTTCCAGTGGTTTAAAAGTTAGGCCGAAGTCCTTTGTGACTGTAGCAGATGGCACCGGGCTGTCCTGAGAATTACATGTGTTTGAATGCATTCATGTAAAATAGCAAAGTTATATGTGTTAAATGTATTGTATTCGTCTGAATGTTCAGTAGTTTAATTCCCTTGGTTTGTTCGAATGAAACTACCGAACAGCCAAACCTCCCCTGTGTGAAGTGTGCCTTCAATTACCCGTTGCAACATTGTTGCGAATGGGTAATTGACAAGCTGAGTAGCCATCCTTTGTTCTCGGGGGTGGCCGCCATTCGGGAAACGAACACGTGGCGTCGAGTGTCTGGAACTCAAATCGGGCACTCGACTAGGCGAACACCGCTGAAACCTCCACAAGCCCGGTCCGTTCGGTTCCAAACTACCGAACGGACCCTCGTTCGGTAGATAGAAACAACCGAACGAGGGGATTCAGGTGAACCCTCCCTAGTCTCTGTAGCTAGAGGCTTTCGTGCAGTTTATTCCCTTACTCCAGGACCGACCGCAGGGCCCCATCGCATGGAACCCCATTCGGCTGTTCACTCCAGTGCAGTGGGTCATTTTATTCCCTCCATAAATTTCCCGAACCCCTGGTCTGATCTGGGTGATTTTTGGATATGTTGTTCACCCAGATCAAGGCTACCAGGGGATGTATAATTTAAAGTGGTACCCCTAAGTTTAGGGGTACATCTAGAAATGGGGGGAATTGGTGTGCTGTATAAGGGGATTATGATGCAGGCTGAGGGGAGGAGATGTGTGGGAGGTTACCAGAGCAGGATTGGCTACAGTACAAATTAATGGAAATCCCTCCCTTACATGGGAGCAGGCTTTATAAGGCCACTGTCTGAATAAATCTTTAGTTCTGCTCCTGATACTGTGTGTCGTCCAGTTATTGGGAATGCTGTTGGGATACTGCTGTGTTATTTTGACTGCTGGATACTTTACCCTATGGATTTATATTGCTTGTTCCTGAACCTCCTTGGGATCTAAAGTGGAGATAGGCTGTGTAATACCAGCTCTCCGCTACAGTGACCAACTGCAAGCATGGCTTTCCAGCCCAAACCAGCTCCACAGAGTTGTGCGAGATAACTGGCTTAACTTGGTGTGGTAAGGCAGCTATCTCCAGGTACAGAAAATCTCTATTCACAACAACAGCAAAAATAACAAAAATACATAACTCCTATCATACTGAACAGAAACCCCACATTCAACCTATCCCCAGATGGCTTGGATCTGAGCGATCAATATATCCAAAAATCGCTCAGATCCCACAAACACAGTCAAATCGCCAGAGGGTTTAAGTTTAGCATGAGCTGATGAGAGGGGGCCATAGTCATGAGGCAGGAGGCTGGTAATCAGGCTTCTCCATAACCCAGGGAAGCAGGGCAATTTGTCATAAGAGAAAATAGGGACAAAAGGCGTTTTGTAACACAGGCTTCTCCAGGACCAAGTGGCGAGGTTAGTTTCGCCACACCCAACACCCTGTAACGGAGTCTTACCTGATAGGGAGTCCAGCTCGCAGAGTTATACGTTCACCCTTGCAAAGTAGACACAGACCAGGGTAACCAGGTAAGACGCCACCTGGCCTGTGAGTCTGTGCACGGGGGCTTTCCAGGAAAAGTGTTCCAAGTCTCAGTACAGCAGGGATTAGCAGAAGCATGGTCGAGGGAAGCCAAAATCAGGGAAGCCAGAGGTCAGAGTAGTCCAGGAGGAAAGCCAAGGTCAGAAGCCGGAATTAGACAGAAATCACTGGAACGCCGTTACGGAGTAACAGGAACCAAACAAGGGAACCAGAGTCAATGAACTGACACCCCTCCCAGGGTGAGGCAGCCTTTTATACCTTGTTAATTAGGTATCAGATTCAGCTGGAGAGTTACTGACAGATCCGAGCCTTTGGTGAAGTCCAGCCCCCTAGTGCTGCAGGCAATACAAGAATAAACAGGAGTTATCCAAAGTCCTGAAATGGCTCAGAGAAAGAACAGTTGGATACGGTCCAGAAGAACCACAGTTCAAATCCCCTATCGGGCGCTTCCGGAGCGACCACGTCTGGCAGACTGGATGTCACATCGTGGACCGTGACACACCCAGAGTAAATATATGATAATAGATTAGACCCTTTTACCGGTCCTTAGAATGGCCGGGTTATATACTGTCAGAACAAGAATGGTCAGGGACAAGCCGAGTCAGGGAAGCCAGAAATAAGGGAAGCGAAAAACTAATAGCCGCGTCAGGTGAACAGAACGGAAAATAGTCAGGAGAAAACCAAAATAGACACAGAATAAAACGCACTCTTGGGAACTGAAAACAGAAACCACAACAGGGCAATCACTAGCACCAGAAATGTTCTTTATATAATCCATGCCTTTAATTGATAGCCATGCCCCCAAATCGGTTGAATTTGAACGTTTTGGTAGGTTGTGACATCATTAGTGTCATTAAAGGGGGAGGAGCTACGCCATCCACAGTTGGAACGGCTGGTGAGATGAGAGGGACCGTGGAAAGGGTCCCTCTACCCTTCAGTGACCTCCACGGGTTGTGTAACAGCCTGGGCCACATAAGGTAATGTGACACAACTGTACTCACTGGAAATGTGTAATTGTCTTTCATTGTCTATTGTATGTATAAAACTGTATTTATACTTTTATGGTGTACGTCTCCTATTATATGTGTAATATTGTATTTGTATATGCTTTCCCAGACATATTGGAAAAGTAGAAGAAATTTCACTGTTTCCTTCCTGGGAAAATGTTATGAATAAGTAAATTTTACAAGATGCAATACGTGCTGCTCCTTTTGGAGAAACAAAAACTATTAGATTAATTTCTAGGAATCAATCAATAATGGATGAGTTTGCCTAAATATTACCTAACATTGTTTTCAGGTTACTGCGTGACTTTATGTTCTATAATGACAAAAAAATATTGATTTCATTGTGGAAGGAAAGATGGGACACAAAAGTGGGAGATACACGTTGAGAAACCCAACTAATGGTGTACAGTGTAAAGGTTTGGAATTGTGATAATGCACAATTGAGAGGACTCACAGGAAAAAAACAACCACAACTGGACTGTTTATCACATCCAGAATTATATGTGAGTCTAGTAAAACTACTCACCAACAAAATTGTAAGTGTTTTAACTGTTTGGAATGAATGTATATTTACTTACTACCAAGGACATGTTGTTTTCAAAAATCACAGTGCAATATTTATTTGGAATTATTTATTTGGAACATGGGAAGTACAGCTGTCAAAAAAGCTAATGGTAGATTTCATAAAAATGTAATTTTGCACATTTTTTTATTTGTCCGTCCTTTATAGAAATATTGAGGTTATGAAAATCATTAGACCACATAGATTATCCCCTATATTGCAATATACAATACAATGATCATATTGCTTCTAAATTTACTCAAACGTCTTTGTTGTCTACATTTATAGGTCCTTGTCTCATTGTTCAAAAAGGTTTTCATGATGCTTCAAAACAGGTACAGTAGATCTCATGATACATAGATAATTTAGCACTCCTGGGAACTGGAGGGGTGGCACCGGCGTTCACCGGTGTAGGGGGTGGGGAGCTCATGCGGGTGGAGCTTCAGGGATGCGGGAGCCGGGAGTTTTTTCTTTGCCTCCTAACCCGGTAAACAGAATCCCGAACCCTGCCCCCGGTATGACACTCTTTAGAGTGGTCTCCCCGACTGGAAAAGGTGCATTAGGACCCCATGCGGGATGTTTCCGCACGTTCCTGCTTGATTCCGCTTGACGGCATTCCAACCCTCCCCTCCCCCTGGATTGTGATCTTTGTCTAATGACATGCAAAAATAAATAATAATAAAATAAAAAAAACAGGTACAGTAGTAGGCTTTAATATAAAATATAACAAGATAAACTGATTTAGAATACTTAAAGGAACACTCCAAGCACTGTAGCCACTATAGAGTTCTGTAGTGGTTATGCTGCCAGTAGTGTTCTGGTGCCTCCATTATTGTGTGTATTCAAACTATTTTAGAAAGGTTTAAATTTGTACCTGCAATTTACAGGGTGCTGCTCATTGGTTCTTTTTTTTAAATTTTACAAAAAGTGCAGATTTCAATAGAAATTGTCACCTTTATAAATTAACCTTGTTACACGCCCCTGATTGTCAATCAGATCACCGGTTCTCTTAGTTGCTGGTTGTTTAGCTCAGTGGACAATCAATTGCCCAAAGAACCTGCATTCCAAATGTATCATTTAGCTGCATTGAAAAGGCTGTGATTGGACAGCCACAGAAAGTCTAGACTGGATTAGAAGGGGAGGGCTTGCAAAGGCTTCAGACTAGAGATATTCACTTTTTGTAAGACTGTTTTTGGATATACCTCCAATGGAAAATGTATAATTAAATGCATGCATGCTTTTAGTGGGTTATTTGTGATTTGTTTATTTTGGATTTTTTGTTTTTGTTTGGGGAGGGGCTTTGATGGTGTTAAATACGCTGCTGGCACTTCTAGCCCAGTGCAGGGGTGCTTCCCCCACAACAGTCTGTGTAAAGTTTTGAGTAGGCATAGGGTTGATTCAAGAATAATAATAAAATACAAATTGTACATTACTTTACATCATTTGAAAAATAATATTTTGAGCAATTCTTTTTTATGCTAGTTTTCTTAGAATATTTTTTCTTTTTCAAATGTAAACGGTTTATCATTTGCTATTTGTATTGCAATTCAATGTGTTTGTTCTCTGTAGGTTAACAAATCACTCTTCTTATTTGCTGATTCTACTGCTATTCTTGTCTCAAATCCAGCGTTCTCTATCAGGTATGTGAGTTACAGCAATTACTTTATCAGCAGCAGCTTGCCAACAATTAAGCCAATAAAACTAAAACCATTTCTGTATAACGCAGGCTATTATCCCTAATTCTGTTTACTGTTCCCTTCTTTTAACAAATTTGAGTTTGTACATTAAGTCATCCGACTAGTTACCTCTATTCAAAACCAGAGTGCCTCCTTTTTGACTCCATGTTAATCACTGTTATGAGCTCTGCTCTTTGCACCTTTTGGTGAGCCTGGGAAGTGAAGAAAACTAAAACAATAAGTTCTGTTTCTCCTTCTTTAAAGCAACGATTGCCCTGGCTATGCCAGGATTGATGTGGTTTGTGATGGCAATTGCTAACTCTAAAGTTAACATTTTAAAAGAAAACTAAGTATCATGAGAGATAAGAAAAGAAAACCTATATTTTTTTATTTAAACAATATATATATATTCTCCTTTTTAAAATGACTGAAAAACATCAGATTTAAAAAAAATGAACTATGACATATAGTAGATGTAATTCCATATCCCATTTATCCTGGCTACAGGCAATGGACATACAGGTTTTATAGTTAGATTCCAAACTCTACTCAGATGAGCAACTGACCAGATGATATTATTGATTGATAGTATCCAATGATCAGATCATTGTAACAATATATGGCACAAGGAATCTGAAATGAGAGTCTAGCAAAGATACATATGACATATTCAGAAAGTCAAAGGTTGTTCACTGAAAAAGTGAATTGAAAATTTCAAGGCGAAGATTCAGATCAACTAATTTTACCTAATATGTTGAAATTCACTTTGTTCGCAAATCACGCTTTAGTAAATAACTGATCAGTGAAGATGTATACACTGCAAACTTGCATATTAGAGATGTTTATTTGAATTCATATTTAAACTACTGTGATATCTAAAATAAGAGAAATACAAATAAATACTCACAGAATTTAAAATGGAGAAAGTCCTAAAATGTCTATCATTCAATCAGTAGTGATTTTTGGTTTCTTTGTTAATGTATGTGGATCCAAAATCTAGGTTTTAAAAGTTAGAGTTGCAGTCCTCAATGCATTGAAGGCATGTACCTCTCTAACCTCAGACTACCCCTACCCCACTCAAACATGTATACAGCTAACTCTAAATACTCAGGGTTGTTCACGAACTTCACATTTAATGCCAAAGTAGCATATAGCCATTTTTAGCTATTATTACTATGAATTTGAATTCACTTAGAACAGTCAATTATATTCACTATCATTCACAGATCGATTTACTGTAATTGCTACTAAAACACCTATCAGCGCTACAATTGGTTCAGATGTCACTTTATCGTTTCATCTCTCGCCTGAAATCAATGCTGAAAATATGGAGATTGGAATTTCTAGATCTCCATCTACAGAATTTGCATTTTTGTATCGCCGTGGTCAAGAGGTGACTGGAAGTCAAATAAAAGGATACAAAGGAAGAACAAAGCTTGTAACAGAACATTTAAAAATGGGGGAAATCTCCTTGCTAATCCGTGATGTTGGCCCATTTGATAACGGCATATACTATTGTTTTGTTCAGTCTGATAATTACTATAATGAAAACAGCTTGGAGCTCATATTAACCAGTAAGGTTTTTTTTTTTTTGTTCTTGTGCTCTTTTATATGATAAAGCAAACTCGTTGATTATGAACACATATACATATTCTAATTAATTCATGAAATATTTTGAAAATCCAAGCTTTCTCCTACAACAGTAGACATCACAAAATAACTTCAGTAGACACACCAATGCATTCTACTGCAAGAAAACCAACTTTAAAAGTAGGACGTTGAAATGTGTTCACCCTCACAAATATTTCTAGATCACAAATCCTATCATTCGGTAATTCTGCCAGAGAAACCATGTAGAGTACGTATTTGACATCACTGATGCAAATGTTTTCTTGAGGTTGAGTGGATTAGTTCATGGGAATTTTCAACCCTTTCTTGTCTTGCTAATCACATATCTGCTTGTGTTGTGTTTGATTTTTTTGGAGATAATGTTCGTTTTGTTTTTGCCCAAACATGCATTGGTTAACATCTACAAAGATAGTAATCTAAATCAGGGATTCACAACAGTGTTCATGTAGCTATACAGTGGTGCTTGGATTTACCAGGTATGTTCCAGTCAGGATATATGTAAAACTGGGTTGGATTCAACAAGCACAGATAAATAAAGGTCTCTGTTGGTACTGATCAGTAGTTTTTTTCATATTGACAGTGGTAAAAATCCCATCCCATAGCTTGAGTTAAAGAGAACTCTTGTCATAGAGTCCAGCTCTGCAACAGTTGTGTGCGTGATTATAGACCTGCGGTGTAATGCTCTAAATCAGGGGTGGCTTATAGATCCATAAATATTAAAAAACTATACCTCCCATGTGGCTTAACCAACATTAAAAGAACATCCAGAGTACCATAACTACTATAGAGCACTGTATTGGTGCCAGGAGTGCTATGGAGCTCCCCCTTTAGTGTGGGGAGCTGGATGCTCCTGCTGTGCGCATTGGCTGAAAGTGTCAGATGATAACTCTCAGCCAGTGACCTAAGCCCGTATTGTCAGACTTAAGTCAATGCGAAGAGCTTCTGGCTTTCACAGAGGCATGCACTATAACCACTTCAGAACACTGTAGTGGTTATGTTGCTTGGATTGTGCCTTTAAGGCCAACAAAGCATCATGGGATCTGCCTTTGACCACCACAAGTTTAAACAGGCAAAATCAAAGAAATCTTGGCACAATTTTGAAAAAAAAAAAGCTTCAACAAGCCACATTATTAATTATACTCTAACTATATATTATACTTTACCTGGGCTTGATAACAAGAGAACCCAACGTCATGTTGTTTTTGTTCTGATTTACAGTGTTGGGCACTGGCCCTGTGATTCGAATAACTGATAAGGATAAAGGCATTACAGCTGTGTGTGAATCTAACGGTTGGTATCCTAAGCCTACAGTTCTGTGGAAGGACAGTCTAGGAAAACCATTGGACAATTCAAATGAATCGAGCACGGAAGACGAATCAAGATTGTTATCAGTCTATTCTTTAATAAACGTCAACCCCAACAACCCAACATTTTGCAACTTCAGATCTGTGTTGTTAAATATACAAAATCAACCAGGAATAAGGATTTCAGGTCAGTGAATTATATTTAAAAAGAAAAAAAATCTGTGTAAATATAAGTTTTATGTTAGGAACTTCATATCCTCTTGTTTCCTCTCCACCTAAATTAGTCATCATTTATGTTTAATCTCATCATTACGGTGTAGCAAAAAACTTTGCCATCTTAAAATAGTAATAAAAAAAACCATTTCATTGCCACATGCATAGCCTAAATTAATCATAAAGATATGGGTTACAACAATGGCTTGTTTATATTTTTCTTGCGTTTGAATGTTTTTTATATCATATTATCTGTTAAAAAAAAAGCCATTCAAATATTTCTGGCTACTTCAAATAAACATTGAGGCTAGGGCCTAATAATATATATATTTTTTTAGGAGGATCAATTTTGTATACACGTAGCACTTGACTTCTTTGACATCTGTTAAATCACCAACACCATCAAATGTCCCATACACAATACAGCAGAGATGTTGTTCAAAATGTCTACAATTAAGAGAGTGGATTTCTGCTCTCAGTTGCACACATACAGAAAACGGTTTTCTGCGAAGCCACACTTAACAAATGTGAAGCCTTGGGCAAGAATAAATTACAAGGCCCAACCCCATCACCAACATTGTGCACATAAAGACAAACTTAGCCACAAGCACATCTACAAACATCATTTGCCACAACCTTAACCTTATTAAGGAGGCCCACTATGCAACAAAACTTTAGCTTAATGAAGTGGTTTTGGTATATAGATCGTGCATTTTTACTACTCAATTTTCTACAATCTGGACATTTAATCCCTTTGTTCATGCAGCCCTAGCTGTGACGTACACAGCCTCCATACACACTTACTGAAAAACAAAAAGGCCTTAAAGTACTAGTGACGGGCAGCTATAGTTGCTAGTCTTTTTTATTACAGCACTGGCTGCTTGCTATTTAGCAGACATGCCCCCACTCCCAACATGGCAAGTGAGGGCATGGGGGAGATTTTAGACCATCGTACTGGCCACCATAGGCTTTTTATTTTTTTTTTTAACCATTTGCCGCCAGCTGCTAGTGCTGCCAGCAGGGATATGGTCAATAAAAGCATATTTCAACCACTTTTTGCTGTTATTTTCACGGCCATTTTACTGAGAGATCATTAAGGGCTGTATTTTTGACATACCTGAGCAGTGGCAGTGCCTATGTGGTTTCATTGTGTGTAGGTCACTACTTATCTTTATAGGAGTACCTTGTCTGCTAACTAAAAGTTTGGGAGGTTAGAATGGAAGACCGCATTTGTGTCAACGTTTGTTATATAGTTATACTTAGTTATATAGTTATATAGTTGAAAAGAGACTTGCGTCCATCAAGTTCAGCCTTCCTCACATATGTTTTTGCTGTTGATCCAAAAGAAAGCAAAAAACAGAGTCTAAGGCGCTTCCAATTTTGCAACAAACTAGGAAAAAATTCCTTCAAAATAACCCAAAACAGCAGTCAGATGTCTCCTTGGATCAAGCAGCTATTAAACCACTAATTAAAAATTATATCCCTGTACGTTATGTTTTTGCAAGTATTTATCCAATTGCAGTTTAAACATCTGTATAGACTGACAAAACCACCTCTTCAAGCAAAGAATTCCATATCGTTATTGCTCTTACTGTAAAAAAACCTTTTCTTTGCCTTAGATGAAATCTCCTTTCTTCAAGCCTAAATGTGTGACCTCGTGTCCTACGTATAGCCCTGTTTATGAATAGATTTCCAGATTATGGTTTGTACTGGCCCCGAATATATTTGTATAATGTTATATCCCCTCTCAGGCGCCGTTTTTCCAAACTAAAGAGATTTAAATTTTTTAACCTTTCTTCATAACTAAAATGCTCTATTCCTTTTATTAATTTTGTAGCTCATCTCTGCACTTTTTCTAGTGCCATGATATCTTTCTTTAGAACAGGTGCCCAAAATTGCACAGCATATTCAAGGTGTGGTCTTACCAGCGATTTATAAAGAAGCAAAATTATATTTTTATCTCGAGAATTTATGCCCCTATTTATACATGACAAAACCTTACTGGCCTTAGCAATGGCAGATTGACATTGCATATTGCTGACTAATTTGTTGTCTATAACAATTCCCAAATCTTTCTCGTGTGTGGTTATCCCTAGTTCACTACCATTTAGGGTGTAAATTGCTTGTGCATTCTTAATCCCGAAGTGCATAACTTTGCATTTCTCTAAGTTAAATTTCATCTGCCATTTTAGTGCCCAATCCCCCAATCTATCCAAATCCCTCTGCAGCAAGGCAATATCCTGCTCACATTTTATTACTTTACAAAGTCTTGTGTCATCTGCAAACACTGATACATGGCTTTTAATGCCCATTTCAAGATCATTTATAAATATGTTAAATAGAAGCGGTCCCAAAACAAAATCCTGAGGGACACCACTTACCACTTTTGTCCAGCTTGAAAATTTACCATTAATGACAAATCGTTGTACTCTATCCTTAAGCCAATGTTCTACCCAAGAACAAGAATATTCATCTAGACCAATTTCTTTTAGTTTGGAGACTAACCTATTGGGAGGAACCGTATCAAATGCCTTGGCAAAATCCAAGTAGATCACATCCACTGCAACTCCTTGACCTATACTTCTACTTACCGCTTCATAGAAAGCAATTAGGTTAGTTTGACATGACCTATGTTTCAAAAAAACATGCTGATTATTGCTAATAACACAGTTCTTCCCAATTAATTCCTGAATATTATCCCTTAATAACCGTTCAAATAATTTCCCAGTCACAGAAGTTAAGCTCACAGGTCTATAATTTCCAGGCAAGGATTTTGAACCCTTTTTAAATATAGGAACAACATCTGCCTTCTTCCAATCCTCCGGTATAATACCTGAAACAAAAGAATCTTGAAAAATTAAATACAGAGGTTCACTTATTTCCCCACTTAGCTCCTTAAGTACTTGTTAAAGATCTAATGATGTCATGATCAGGTTGTTCGTGATGCAGGTCATTAGTTGTCGGATATCACTGAAGGCATTAGAAAATTTTGTTTGGTTACTCTGTCACAGGGCAGATCTTGACATTTGGAAGAAAATAAAATGAGTGCAAATTTCTATTTTAACAATTTAACTATTCAGTGTTTGACCAGCAGATGGCACCACAAACGTATAATTAAAAATATATATCTTCGCTTATATTTGGAAGACAGATGAAATATGTACATTTCTCAAAAATTGACCCACGTCTTGCCAATTGCATGCACGTCTCGAAGATCATACAAAAATCTCAGACAGACAACATACATCTCTCATTGAAACCACACTGAGACAAGATATGGACTTTTGGTCCAGTTACTATAAGACTAGTTTATATATAAAAAAAAGCATAATTGAGTACTTTTGTCAGACGTGGAAATATTTGAACAATAGACCAGATTCCCATAGCTTCACTCAGAAAGACGACTGTAGTGATTTTTATGATAAACATCTAATACTATTTATTAAAAAATAATGGTGCTGTATTTAAAAAAAATTTATATTGTATTTTATTTCCTTTTCCGACAGATACTTTGTACAACAGAGTGGACCGTTGTTTTACTTCTTTGATTTTTATATCTGCCGTATTGCTTTCATTCACTTTACCCATCATGTATGGTTTGTATAAAGTTAGAACACTGAAAGCCAAACTGAAAGGTAATTAAAATAAGTAAAGTACATAACAATGTATAAGATAATGCAGAACACAAGAAAGGGCTATTTTGCATTGAAAGTTCTGTGTCATGGGAAAAAAATGATTACTGAACATGTTGTTATAATGTTGGAACTCCAATAACATAAAACACAATGATCAAGGAGCTACAAGAGGAATATTTTAAGGTGTTAGTAACTGTACTGCTAAGAGGAGGGGGTGCCCCTGAATAACAAACTCAAATAATAGAGATATAGTGTTTACAAACTGTTGAAAGAAATCGAGCATCAAGAGAAAATGAATCCCAAAAGTTTGAGGACTATGAGGCAATAAAAGAACATGGAAATGAGTAAGAGCTCGGTATTTGTCTGCTGATAATGAACAGATAATTATGGGATGGATGTGTTAAAGATCCAAACTTTAGAGAAATAAGTCCATTAATGTTAAAGTGGTTGTTGTTTCCCAAATTCATGTAGCTATATGTTTAAATAGAGAATTATGTCTAAACATGTAATGGGTTAAATGGGTTGAGCTCAACAAGTCAGGGAACAGGGTTAAATACCACCCTAACACCCTAACTGTTCCATTATCTTTAAAGTGACACTGTAGGCACCCAGAGCACTTCAGCTCATTGTGGTAATTAAGTGCAGTTTCTGAGAATTACCTGCTAGGTTTAACTCCTCCTTTAGTGCTACCAGACAGCCACTAAAGGGACTTCTGGGTGCTTAGACGACATTAGGTTGCCTAAATGACATTGGACATCCTCCCACTGTGCATGAGGACTTCCAGCGACCCTTCAGCTTGTTGGAGATTTTAGAATTTTGACTTTCCTTTCTTTTATGAAATATTGATTGTTAATACAAATGTTTTGTTTTTCACCAAACTTTCAACTTTGGTCAACTTGGTCAACTTTGGAAGGGTTAATAAATATCAGCTGTACTCAGCAGCATACATAGGTAGGACGGGTCCCTGTCCTATCAGGTTATATAGCATTATTCCCTGCAGGCACAAAGCAGACATTAATTGTGAACTCCCTTACAATCTAATGTAATTTTCTTCAACACCCTCTTAAGGAAACACAAACTGCCTGGGATATAAACAAAAATAGAAGTCCAAAGGTGTCCCAATGTAGGGTGAAGAAAAGTAATATTGTAGTTCACGGATGACAAAAAAAAGATACCTTTTGCCCTAAAGGCTTTATTCATTCAGCCTGAAGGCTTTAGTCATTCGGCCAAAAGGCCGAAACATTGTATCCTTTTTGTCCTCATTGAACTACAATAAATACAATTTTTCTTCATCCTACGTTGTGACACCTGTGGACTTCTATATTTGATTGTTCCTGGTGGGCGGCGGACCCCCCCTCCACAATGCTCCCTCGTACATTTACACGTGTGCAGCACTCCCTGGACTTTGTGCCTGGGATATAAAGATATAGGTGACAAGTACATAATAGGTGTTAATAATTCACATGCATCACCTTAATCACTATAGGATGTTATAATGATGAATGCAGTTATAAACATTTTTATAAAGATTTAATATTCTGTACTTGGAAATAGTAGGCCTAGCAGTAAACTGGATACGATAAAGGGTAAGGTTGACAGTAAGGCATATTACTAATTGTTCGGTTGGATTGGTTTAAAAGAACACACCAAGCACCATAACAACTACAATGTGTTGTATTGGTTATGGTAACATGAGTGCTCAGTAGCCCCCTCAATGTAGGTAGTCAAATCATTTGCTAAACCTTTAAAAATGTGATACTTAGATTACTCTATACAGAATTAGTTAATGCTAAAGATTATGTCTATTTCAAGATACACAGTATTTTGAAGATGATGATCGGTTTTTAAGTATTCTCTCTACTTATAGGGCTTTTTTTTTACCCACATATATTTCTATTATATTTAGCTATTTAGTATTTGACCTTATGAGTTTAGAATAAAGGTTACGTTTAAGATTATGCACAGATATTTTATGTGTTCTGTATACTTCACCTTTGGGGTTACCTCCCCTTTTTTTATTGGTGATGGGGTTATTATTCTGTATAGGTGGCTCTTCACTTTATTTCTGTTAAGTATTACTACTATACTATTATTATACTATTATCTTAAAGGCATAGTCTCTTCTGTGAAAAACGTATGTGTATGTATAAATATGTATAATAGTATAGTAACATATTTTTCTGTTTTGTATTTGACTTTTCTTGTTTTTCTCAACAGAAACGGACAATAGATTACGCAAGTTACTCAGAATTGTAACAATTCTGTTTTTGTTTTGTTTTTGCAATCTTTATGAAAGTAAATAAAGACAATACACATTCAAGAAAAATGCAATGATCCATTGTTTTTTTTTTTTTTAATTCTTTATTTATGGTACATTTTATGTAGGTTGGTGGGTAGGGTATGGGGTACAGAAGAGAAGTTGGGGGAGTGGGAGGGGGAAAATGCACAGTTGTACAGCATCTTCTCTGTTAGCAATCGCACAATCCTCTGTATATACAGATATAGGCATAGTAAGAACTTGTACCGTATGTATCATGAGATTAGGCATTAAGCCGGCTGTAACATGGACCAATAGGGTCTATATGCTGCCGTATTGTGGGTCCTATTTGGTTGTTCGTTGTTACCTAAGGATGATGGCGTTATGGCCACCCATATCCCCGTTTTCAGTCCAACTGTGTAGTGGTGTTGTCCCATGGGTCGCGTAGTCTTCAGTTGAAGTGTAACTTGGAGCCAGGTGGTTCGGTAGTTCTCTGTTTTTGGTGTAATCGGGTTTTGTGGGCCTCGAGTTGTGGGTGCGTCATGTGGGCAAGTTCCATTGCCTGGTATTCCTGTGCAGGGGTGGTGAGGTGGAGTGATGGTGTAGAATGGGTCATGGGGGAAGGATTCCAGGGGTGGAGGGGGTCCGGGGATGGATAATTAGGGTGATCTGCCACACGCGCGGAGCCCCAGCCCAGTGGGTATGGCGGAGCGAGCTGAAGTTTGGGCTTGGCAGGAGTTTTGAGGGGAGTCCTGAGATCTCGGTGATAGTGTGTTTATAGTATGTACGCTTGTGCAAGCTGAGATTGTGTTCACCAGGGCAGGGAGGTATCTCCCTCTAGCCATGGGTCCCAAACCTTATGGAATTGTTTGGGAGTGTCGTGGAACTGGGATGTGAGCTTATCCATTTGTATGTTATCCTGTATTTTTTTAGTGATGCTCTCTTGTGATGGGATGCGGGTGGTGGACCACAGCTCTGCTATTGCCCTTCGTGTGGAGAGGGCGATGCGTGTTTGTTTTCTGCTCTGGTTAAATTTTCCAGAGGCTTTGAGAGTAGAAGGGCCCATGGGTCTAATGGGTATGGCTTGTGTAGAATTTTGGTCAGTAGGGCTATAACACTGATCCATAGGGGTTTTATTTTGGGACATGTCCACAAACAGTGGAGAAATGTCCCTTGTTCTCCACAAAGTTTCCAGCACGCGCTGGGTGTTTTGTTGATGCAATGATCCATTTTTAGAGACCATGTTAGAGAAATATATATTTCACAGCAATAGCCCTGGGTGGGACCCTTGTGCTGCCATGGCCTATGACCAGGAAAAGAAAATTACAGTAAGTATGAATACATTTTCCATTTTCCTGGCCATATCCATTGCAGCACAACATTGGGTAATACCGAAGCAATAAACCAGGGAGGGAAGAAGACACAGACCTGAAAATTTGAATGCAAAGTGTATTTAACACCATTAACAAGTGATAAACAAAGAAATCTTTATCGGATACAGACAGAACTGATTTAGCAAATTGATCTGATAGACCTGCTCTGACATCAATTTGATAACTTCTAATGAAGGTATTGGTAGAAGACCATGTGGCCGCCTTACAAATGAGTTCAGGAGAGACATTAGCCGCGGCTGCCCAGGAAGATGAAAGGGCCCTAGTGGAATGGGCTTTTAGACCCACAGGGACCGGATATCCAGAAGATTGATAAGCCAGTATAATGGCTGCCACTATCCACCTGCTAATGGTAGATTTAGGGGCTTGTAAGCCTTTTTTACTACCACTATGAAGGACCAAGATACTTTGAGAAGTGCGCCAAGCAGCAGTCCTTTCAATATATATATGAAGGCATCTCGCTAGGTCCAGAGATGTCAGGTCAGTTGAATTCTCGCTTTCTTGGCATTCAGACCTCAGAGATGGAAGAACAATATCTTCGTTGAAAAGCAGAGGTGACTTTAGGTCTAAATTCAGGAACAGTACGGAGGATAACTCTGTCCTTGTGAAAGACCGTAAAGGGTTCCTTAATGGATAGGTCGTGGAGCTCCGAAACTCTAGGGCGATCAGCAAAGCTGTCTTGATAGAGAGAACATGTAGAGGAATTGATCCAACGGGTTCAAAGGGCTCCAATTTTAAGGCGTTCAGAACCAAAGGGAGATTCCAGGAGGAAACAAATGGCTTAATTGGAGGTTTAATTTTAAGGACTCCTTTAATGAATCTGATAACATCAGAGTCCAATGCCCATCTATGATTGGTTAAGGAGGACAAAGCTGAGACGTGTACTTTTAGAGTATTATAACTCAGACCTTTAGCAAGTCCAGACTGCAGGAACTCCAAAACATCCGTGGAACAGGGATTCTGCAGATCAATGTTTTTAGGAAGAGCCCAGATGGAAAAAAACTTCCCACACCCTATAATAGATGGCTGAAGTGGAATGCTTACGTGCCTTCAGCATAGTTTCTATTACGGCCTGGGAGAATCCTTTGTTCATAAGCCTGTTCCTTTCAGTCTCCATGCCATGAGATTGAGTGAGACCGGGTTTGGATGCAACACTGGACCCTGGAACAGTAGATCAGGAGTTCTGGGGAGTGGGAGAGGAGGTTCCACTGAAAGACTTTGAAGCAGGGGAAACCAAGGCCTTCAAGGCCAATAGGACGCTATCAGGATGAGAGATACCTGCTCTGTTCTCATCCTCCTCAGGATTGGGAAGATCAGTGGAAATGGAGGGAACGCATACCCTATTTTGAATCTCCAGGGACTGGATAATGCATCTCTTTCCACTGCCAGATGGTGGTCTTCCAGATGGTGGTCTTCTTTCGTGAAGAAGTCTTTCACTTTCCTGTTGACCCAAGTAGCTAGTAGGTCCACTTGTGGGAGACCCCATTTGTCTACAATTGTATGGAATACTCTGTCCGATAGGCACCATTCCCCTGGGTCTATCCTGGATCTGCTGAGGAAATCTGTCAATTGATTCTGTTTCCCTGGTAGATGGATGGCTGTAAGGCCTGCCAGGTTCCTCTGAACCCACCACATCAGTCGTTTAATAATCACCATCATCTTGCCACTCCTGGTACCTCCTTGATGATTGACATAGGATACCACGGTGGTGTTGTCTGTTCTTATCTTTACCCATTGACCCTTGAGATGTACCGAGAAGTGTTTCAATGCTTTGAGGACTGCCAGAAGTTCTAGCAGATTGGAATGCACATTATTTGCCATGAAACTCCATTCTTCCTGTGCAAAGTCATGGAGACAATGGGCGCCCCATCCCCATTGGCTGGCATCTGTTGTCACTGCTATCCATGTGATGTTTCCTAGCGGAAAACCCCTAGATAGGTGTTCTTTGTTCAGTCACCAGATCAGAGAATGGCGTACGGCCCGGGATAACTTGATGGGTTGAAGCAGATTCTTGGAGGAAAATTGCATCAGGAAATGGTCTCATCCTCCATTGTGCCCATCTGGTCAGTCCTATCGTGGAGGACATAGATCCGAGGAGGCTCATTACCACCTTTGCAGGAGCAATACTGGACTTTAACATCTTTCTCAATTGTATCCTGAGTTTCAATATTCTTGCCATTGAGAATTGGACAGTACCCATCAGAGTGTCGAAGTGAGCACCTAAATAAATCATAGATTGAGTTGGGCGGAGGTGGCTCTTCTTGGTGTTGATCTTCCAGCCGTGGGCTTGCAGAAACTGAATGCTGGTAATAGCTTGGGAGGTCAATGAATCTTTGCTGTTTCCTATGATCAGGATGTCCTCCAAATAATGGTAGATAGCGATATTCTGTTTTCTTAGTTCTGCAATCAGAACTGCCAACACTTTTGTGAACGTCCTTGGGGCTGTGCTTAGTCCAAACAGGAGGGCTCTGAACTGGAAATGACCTTCTTCCACGGCAAACCTCAGCAACCTTTGATGGGATTGGGCAATGGGTATGTGAAAGTAGGCGTCTAACAGGTCTATAGACAACATCCATTGGTTGGGTGACACTACTTTTATTATAGACTGCAGGGATTCCATCTTGAATCTGCGGATGTGTAGATGCTTGTTTAATCTGTGCAGATCCAGAATGGGTCTCCATGCTCCTGAGGATTTTTTCGTTAAGAAGATTTGAGAGTAAAACCCCTGAGCTCTGTCGTCTGCTGGCACTGTTATGACCTTCTCTGCTTGTAAGGATAGAATGAAGTTTTGTAGAGCCATACGCTTCTCTTTGTCCCCTGGCAACTTTGTGAGATGAAAGGACCTGTTGGGAGGATGCTTGAAGAATTCTAGAAGGTATCCTCTCCAAATAATATCCAGCACCCAACTGTTGCTTGTGGATTCTTCTCATATGGGTAAATATTGAAGACAAGCCCCGACCCCTTTGGATTTGGGAATTATAGTCAAATTCCTAGGGTTCTTGGAGGAAGAAGCACTTCGTGACTTGCCTCCTCTTCCTCCAGAATGGGCTCCTCTCCCCGGTTGAAATCTGGAATATTCTCTACCAGGCTTGTAAGATCTACTATCTCGAAAGGAATGATACTCTTTTCGGGCACGAAAGGACCCTTTATATTTCCTCTCTTGAGGTAGAAAGGCCTTATTACCTTCGGCCGCCCTCTTTATACATTCGTCTAAGTTCTTACCAAACAACATATTCCCGTGGAATGGTAAGGAACATAAACTATTCTTAGAGGAAGCATCGGCTACCCAAGACCTGAGCCAAAGCGCATGTCTGGAGGAAATTGAAAAGGACATATTTCTAGCAAGATTTCTTACTAGATCCACTGCTGCTTCGGATGAAAAATCAATGGCTAAACGCATATCTCTTAGGCCATCCACAATGGAGGAACGGCTTCTGCCACTCCTGATATCCTCCTCCATTTCTTGTAGCCATACCTTCATAGCTCTTGTAACTGATGTGAGAGCAACGGCAGGGTGGAGACTCGTGCCTGAGGCTACATAGGACTTGGAAAGGTAGTACTCCATTTTACGATCCATCGGATCCCTGAAGGAACCTGCATCGTCCACAGGTAGGGTAGTGTGTTTGGCTAACCTGACAACTGCAGCATCAACCTTGGGTGCAAAATCCCATGCCTCAGCATCTTTGCGCTCGAATAGGTATAACCTGGAGAATTTTCCCTTGGCAGATGATCTCCTATCAGATCTGGACCATTCCTCCTTAATAACATCACTGATTGTGTCATGCACCGGGAAAGCCGCTCTTTTTCTCCTAAGATCAGAGAAATAGCGATTAGATGTAGAGGGTTCCTCCTCTGAGGGTTCCTTTAAAGTGAGGGTTTCTCTAACCCGGGCAATTAAATGATCCACTTCCGCTGGTACCAGGAAGTCTGGATCTGGCATAGCATCCTCCTCCGAGGAAAAAGCTAGATCTCTCAGCGAAGCTGAATCCATAAACTCATCTTCTGAGTTTCCTGGAGAAAAATTTGAGGGCTCAGAATATCTAGGTTGCTTGTGGGTCTTTCCAACCTCTCTGATGCCCTGGGCAACTGCATGCTTTATAAGTTGCATAATGTCCGGTGTTGGATGAGAAGGTCCTGAAGCTGCTGAGAGACAATCTGAACAGAGACGTTTCCCTTCTATGGCTCTGTTGTCACAGACGATCCTGAAATCTTTGTACTTTTAGCACTACAATACACAAAAAGTGCTTTTAAGTACATTCCCACTCTTTTTTTTTTTTTAGGAAAAAGATGGCTTCCCTATATTGCTTAGATTGTGACCTATTATGAGATGAATCCGATTCCCTGGATCTTGAACAAGAATCCATCTGGAAATAATTGATGGAACAGATGAACTTAAACCAAGAAGAGTAAAGATAATAAAAAAGAAATAATGTGGAAAAAAATTACTTTTGTCCCAGAAAGGAAGGGAACCTGGAAAAGGTGAAGAACCGACAGTTCCGTCAAAGCTCTATGGTACAAGAATACTTCTTCTGTAGGGAATAATCAGCCTTGTAAGAAAAAACTCACAAACTCCGCGCAGGTGCCCTGGAACTCACGAACGCCGCGCAGGCGCACTGGAACCCCAGAACGCAGTGCGGGTACCCTGAAGACTCTGCAGGCGGCCAGAAAGATGGGAAAAGCAAACAACTTACCGGCTAAATGCTCCTGGCGGTAAGTTTGAATCCATATCAGCCTCATACATTATTTCTGGTGGGAAGATTCCAAACATTTAACCAGTTCGATTAATAATGTAATTGGTCCTTTACTTGCTACCCCTGAGGTTATTGCAAGATAGTGGAAAGGAAAAAACCTGGTCACTAAAGGGGTTTTCTCCAGGGAAACACCTTTGCGCAGGGCCGTATACTGGAGACTTCCCAGGGGAGAGAGGGTGAACTCCCCAGGGGCTGGAGGAACTAATCCTCAGGTAAGCCATAAAAGAAAATGTTATGGTTCTAAAGACCAACATGTCCTAGGGATAGG